TGCTTCTATTTCAACCAGGACGGTCGTCAGCTCCTCAAATGTAAGTCTTGCATTTCTTATGCTACGATTAAGGTGACCCTTGGCCGATTTAACTGCCGCTTCCCAAATACCACCGAAATGAGGTGCTCTGGGAGGAATAAAATTAAATTTTACCAATTCATTAGCACAATATCTTACTATTGCATTTGATTTTCGGATTTGAATAAAACTGACTTTAGTTCTGCGAGTTTAGTGCAAGCACCAACGAAATTTGTTGCGTTATCGCAAAAGATGTCAGAGGGAAGCCCTCTTCTTCCGATCATCCGTTTTAGTGACGCCAAGAATGCATCCGTAGATAGGTCCGATACAAGTTCGATATGGACCGCCTTTGTTGCTAGACAGACGAAAAGGGCAATGTACGCTTTATAGGGTGTCTTGCCACGAATACGCCAATAGACGTTGGCTGGTCCGCAGAAGTCAATACCACAGCGTGCAAAAGGGCGAGATGGTGTCAACCGCTCGACCGGTAACTGCCCCATTACTTGGTTCATCAGATTTGGCTCGTAGCGTGCACAGTGTATGCACGACCTGACGATGCGCCTTGCTACGTCGGGCGCGTTGACTACCCAACACTGGAGTCTTATGAGTGATACGAGTGCCTTGGTTCCTGCGTGGTAGTTCTTTAGATGAAGATGGCGAACATAGTGTATAACGAAGTCGCATTTGTTTGGTAAAAGCATTGGATGCCTTCTTTCTTCTGGAATATCTGCTGATTCTAGTCGAACACCAACCTTTAGTATTTGAAACCCTTCGGTGTATTCAAGAAAAGGGCATAAGTAACGCAGCGCGCCATTTGCCATACGCTCTTTCTGTAAAAAATGAATGTCATAGCAAAATGTTTTTGTTGCATGTTCCAAATTATGCAAAGTAAGGCGTGATGCAACTCTTGTGGTGAAAGTATTGAAGTGTCATTAACCTTGGCACGGTGTCGTAATTTATTGACAAAACGAAACATCCAGGCTATTAATCGAAGCCCGCTAATATAACTACTCCGCTGGCTGACAATTTCCATTTCAATGTCGCCGCAACGGTCCTTTGACCACTTGTCTGTTGTTTCGTACAAAAATGTCGGTCCAGTGTAGCATATTGAATTGGCAAGTTCTTCCACTGTGCATCCCCTAGAAGCGATATCTGCAAGGTTGCAATGTGTTGGGACATGTTTCCAATGAGCACCTTTCGAAAGTGTTGCCGAGTGCATCTTTAGCCAATGTAATACTATTTGCGAATCTGTCCAAAGAAAAATCGTAAAATATTTGTTAGAAATTATTGATTGAACCTTTGCTAAGAGACGGGCAAGAAGAAGAGCGCCGCAAAGCTCTAATTTTGGTAGCGTTTGTTTCTTGATGGATGCAGCTCTGGACTTTGCGGAGGGTAAGTCAACGATAGTAGTGCCAAACCTTTTGGTAACGCGAGTTTATATTGCACAGCCATATGCACGAATCGATGCGCCACAGAATCCATGTAATTGAAGAGATACCATGTCCTTCGAGAAACAATACCTATTCACCTTAATTGACGAAAGTGAATATAAGCCATCTACGAAGTTTGTCCCAGCGAATGCAATGTTCTGTGGCACCGATTCATCCCAATCCAACTTCTGCAACCATATTTCTTGCAGAAAAATTTTTGATGTTATATCCTCAGGAGCCAGAAGACCAAGCGGATCGAAGAGCGATGATGCAACAGAAAGAATGGAACGTTTTGTAAACCTGCCAATGGATCCTAGTTTCGTATCAAAGGGAAAAAAAATCAAGATTTTGATTCCATTGTAGTCCAAGTGTGCTTGTAACAGATCCGTCTATGTTCAGATTCTTTGCAGAATCGTCTTCTCTGAATTGATAATGATTGGAGTGCCACTTCGATAGCTCAAATTTTCCTAACTCCAACAACTGTGTTACCCCCTGTTTTATTCGTGAGAGCTCGTCCAGAGTATCAGCACCGCCCAATAAGTCGTCTACGTAAAACGCTGACTTCACGATTTTTGCTCCAATTGCAAATAGTTCCGCATGCTGCTCAGCTAGATACAACAAACTCCGTATAGCCAAATATAAAGCAGACGCCACTCCATACGTTACGGTATTAAGTCGGTACGTGCGAATGTCTTCAGTCGGGGACTTCCTCCACAGGATATACTGGAACTTGCGATCGTCTTCGTGCATTAGTACTTGCCGATACATCTTTACTTTGACAGCGGTGAGTGTAAACCTAAAGAGTCGCAAACGGAAAATAAGAATAAACAGTTCGCATTGAATTGTAGGGCCAACCATCTGAATGGCGTTTAATGATTTTTGGGTTGTGGTTTGACAAGATGCATCAAATACGACTCGAAGCTTCGTTGTTTTGCTGTTTGGCTTTAACACACAGTGATGCGGGATATAATAGTGCGGTTGGCGCAGATTTGGATATTTTACAACGCTCATGTGTCCCAAACGTTCGTATTCGTTCATAAATTCTACGTATTGTGACCTCAATTGTGGTGATTTTAGTAATCGATGCTCTTGTGCATTGAATCGTCTCAATGCCGTAGTGTACGAGTCGCCCAAACAAACCGGATCATCCTTGAAAGGTAGTTTGACAACTATTCTGCCGTCGGGTTTCCTTGAAACTGTTTCATTGTACATGTGGTCGCAACTCTGCTGTTCACGAGTCCAAGTTTACTCGTAACTTCTTCCAATTTCCACAACATTTCCATTTTTGCGTGTAAAGATTCGTTGGCTGTAAATAAACAAGATCGTTTAGATAAGTTATTGTTGCCCGTTTGGTAACGTCTCGAAACAACTCAGCCTAAGAGGGTTTTTTTGCAAGATAGGTAAGTTAGGTCCAAGTTGGATTTGACCGACAGACAGCAGACTAAAGAATGTTTCTGTACCCAGCAACAGGTTGATTTTTTTTTGGTACATAAAACTCATCAAGTACTATGATGTTTGGTATATTCCATGCTGAAATGTCGATTTCAGGATCTGGATGATAAGCAATATTCGATGTAATGCAAAACGATAAAGGAAGTTAGAAGCCAGTTACTTGCGACCTTATGTTAGTTGTGGTTTTGTACTTGATATTTATTGATGACGCACCGATGCTTTGGATTTCTATGTTCTGCTTGTTTCTTTGCAACAACAACCTTTGAGAAAACTCCTCTGTTATGAAATTGACTTGCCAGTAAGAATCCAGCAGTGCAGTACCCAACCTATAACTACCTGATGCGTCGCGAACAAAAATTTTTGGGGTTGCGAGGATCACATTATCCAACGACGAATTATTCATGTGTGTATGCACGGCGGCCTCTTCTGAAGTTGGCCTGGTGCAGAACCGCGATGAAGTAAACTATGGTATTGTCGTGCACAAACCTTGCACCGGTGTGTTGATGGACAATATGCTACTTGATGTCCCTTCGAAAGGCAATTAATACAAAGTCCCATTTTCTTTGTATTGTCGAAGCGTTAAAGCGTTCGAAATTTTAAACCTTATGGCCTGTGCTGGAATAAAATGGGCACGACATGCTAGAACAGGAGAATGTGTAGCCTCTTGGTTGACCCCTTGACTTGGACGTTGATTTGCTGGTACTTTGCGCGAATCAACTACTCGTGTGTGTGTTGTCCAGAGACTCCAGATATTGGCAGTGTCTTTCCAAAAACCTTTGTGCAGTCCTCTCATGACAGCAGAGTTTTAAAGTCTAGCGATTCCTTCCATTTTATGTTGGTCTGTTTATCAGATTTCTGTAAAACCATATAAATGAGCATAGCTTGGGATATTTGCCTGTCACTACCTAACGACGTCAACGAACCATAAATAGCTGAAACCTTATCAATTAGACTTCTAAGCTGAATGCCGTTTGGTTTCGTAACCGCTGGCAAATCAAATAATGATGATATACCTTCCCAAAAAATTAGTGTTTTGTTGTCATACCGTACCTTAAGCCGCTCTAAAGCCTTTGGATAGTTTTCGTTTGTCACCTGGAACGCGTCCTCAGTTTCTAAAGCTTGGCTTTGGAGACAATTTCGCGAATTATTTAATTTTTCAATATTTGTTAAATTGAACTCGCGATCAATTATTTGTTTGAAAGAGGTAATAAAGTTCCGGTAATTCGAATACTTGCCGTCAAAGATTGGAAGCTTGAGCCGTGGAAGTTTTGAAGTTGATTGTACTACGCAGGTTGTATCCGAAAGCGAAACGTTGTTATCTTCTGCCAGCTGCGATTGAATAACCAGTTTAGTTGTGATGTAGAGATCCTCCAGATCAGCGCGTCCTCCATCCTCAGCGTCCAATCTTTCGATGTCGGTTTGAATTGAGAGAATCTGCTTAAAATATGACTCAAGGATGCCCAACCGACATTTGTATTCGGCAGCTGAAAGGATCTTTCCACCTTGCCGCAAACTGGCGTCAACGATATTTTTAATCCGCGTAATATTTTTCTTGGTGCTAGCCCGTTGCTGTTTCAACTCGTCCAACGACATCGTAAAGCAGAAAACATTAGTACAAAGAAGGTTTTTACGTACGTTGTTAAGAGCACGGCAAAGGCAAACCTTGTATACACGTAGTAGCGTCTTCAAGAGATATTCGGGCGACAAATATTAGCAGCGGCGAGTGGTGGCGACGACGACGTAGCGGATGCAAAGCAGGTGTGCAGTGATATGTGCTTGATGAGTTCCACGATGAGCGAGC